TATTTGGACTTAAATTAATAATAATATTTAAACTAGTAACCAAATGAATTATCCATAATAAGTAGCTAACCATTGAGGAGAAGTGAATTCGAACTAAACAGAAGTGTTTTTAGTCATTGACTGAATTTGACAATTGAGTGAATAAGTTTTTCTGAACTTGCAAAATCGGATAAAAACCAAATTAACTTTTGATTTTCTTAGATTAATTATTAGTAGATAAATTAGTTCATTAAAACCATCATTGGGTTTGATACCCGACTGTTTGTGATATACTATTTGCGAAAAGTTCCACTGCATTTAGTCGAACGCCTAGTTAGATAGTAGGTAAAATTAGGTGTAGTAATATTTCGACACCAATATACTTTAAAAAATATTATTTTATGAAAAAAATCACATTTTAACAATTTTTTTATTTGACGCGATCAAATATTAATAGCTAGTATTAAGTCTTACATTTGAGCGTTTTAGAACATTTGTACACCTTTTAATAAAACTTTCATTTTATAAAATAAGATTTAGAGTTTGATAAGTTTATAAATCTCTATTTTAAACTTATATAATTTTAATCCCGAAATTTAACGGTTACTAGTTTTAACGATAAAACTTGTTTTAATTTTAAAACTATTTTACCATCTTATCTTAGAAGGTAAATATCATTAAAACCAAACTCCTGTGTGATGTTTATTTATGTTCAAATATTATTTTTCATTTAAAAAACTAATTTATCAACCATAACATAACAATAACAACATAAATATAAAACAACACAAGCATGTTATAAACATATGTGCATAAACCAAGCCAACTAATGACATTTTGTAAGCCATCACAAAATGCCAAGTCTATTCCTAAAGAGACATTTAAAGGGACCAAAGTCTTCTAGTAATGTTGTTGTAGAAGCTTCCACTTGAGAAAACACTCATTGCTTGCAAAAGGTTGAAAAACTTTTTGAAAGTAATAATTCAACAACATGCAACACTTTTCAGAAAAGGCTGCAGAAAAGGTTGCATTAGGTCCAACAGCTCCAAGGGAAGCTGCCAACAACAAAACCTTTTGCAAGAGTTTGCAGAAAGGTTGCATTTTCCCCTGCACACTTCAAACTTGCGAAAATTACCTTTTGGTCTTCAAAAAATGGCCTCATCTTCATTTTTTGTTACATTTTATACAAATAAATTATTTCTAAAAACTAATCTATTCGTTACAAAAATAAATGAAGAAAACTAACCTATTTAATTATTACATACTATATGAATAAATAAATATTGCAACTAATTTTCAACAAATCAACACAAACAACAACACAAAGGTCATTGGCTAGTTTATGCACATCATACACATTTATATACTCAAAATTATATAAAACAACTCTTTGTTTTTATAAGACAACTTTTATGACTAAAAGGATGTATGTAAACTTTTAGTAAAAAAATAACAATTATAAACATTTTGAAGTTGTCATATAAAATATGTGTGGATTTTTCTTGCAAAGAGAAAACCATCCATGTTTTCCAAAACCAAAGATTTCATCAACTTAACAAATAATCTAACTAATCTTCCAAAAAATGGCTTTTGATACCAATTGTTGGGTTTTTATTCAAAATTGTTTCAAAAATATAAACATGGCAACGAAAGACTTTGATTTTGAACAAGATAAAACTAGTTTTATTCCCATGAGCGTCTGAAGTATGTTGAGAGACCGATGACGATTCTAGATCGGAAGACGAAGGCCTTGCACAACAAGGTACTACTTTTGGTCAAGGTTCAGTGGTAGCATCGGAAGGGTTCCGAGTGGACAGGGGAACTTGAGGCAGAGATGCGTGAGCACTACCCTAAGTTATACACAATTGAGAACTTCGAGGATGAAGTCTGATTCAAGTGGGGGAGAATTGTAACACCCGTTCTAGGCATGAATTTAATTTACAAGTGCCAAATGTTATTCTGGGTGGCCACGACGTGGTGGAGTCTCACCATGGCGTGGAAATATTTTGGCAGCTGGCTTTTAATGGACCACCATGGCGTGGCTTTAGGTTCCACGGCATGGCAGCCGCTGTTGGTAAAAACCCTAATTTTTTTAGGGTTTGAGCCCTATTTAAGCATCATTAACACCCAAGACTTTTTCCCTCATTAACCTCTATTGCCCACTTTGTCCCTTACAAACCCTAATCTCCATTTGTGGTTTCTTGAGCTCATTTTGGTGTTTGGTGTCCACTTTTTAAAGAATGAAGCCATTAGGAAGCAAGAAAGGAGCTCCACGCTTTGTAGATATGAGCTTTTCACTTATTGAACAACCCCCAGAAGGTATAAAGTTATGAACTTGATGATTATCTCTCTAGATCTTACTAGTTTTAGAAGTTACGTGCTTTTAGCCCCATATTCTTACTCTATGTGAGTTTGGACTGCTCTAGACCAAATGAGTTTCCCTTTTGGACGCTTTGGGATGTTTAGAGTAATAAAAACGGGATCTTAACCCTTCACTTTTCTCCATGCATGTATTATGTGGCTTAGAACATTGTGAAATGTTAAGGTTTAAGATTTGGACACCTTATAGCCATGAAAAGTCATAAAGTTGGAAACTTTATGACTTAGAATGTTAATTGAGACTAGAACTGAGTTTTGGACGAAATGACTATAGGGATTAAGAGCTTATTGTTTAAGTCATGTTGAGCTTTTGCTCTTTTTGTACTTAGAATGGAGATCTTTGCTCATGGGAAGGACTTAAGGGATAAAGTTGGAAACTTTATTAATTTAGACCCTAGAATGGACCAGATCTGGGCTTTGGATCCCTTAGGAATAAAGAAATTGACTTAATCCATTAAGTTGTTAAGGGAATAGTGACCACGACGTGGCTTGGACTGCCACAACATGGCGATTGGGCTATGACCCATCTGTTTTTGGCGATTTGTGGCCACGATGTGGCCAAGGAAGGCCACGACATGGCAGTCAACTGTAGGTTGACTTTTGATTTTTGACCGTTGACTTTAACCTAGGGGTATTTTGGGTATTTTAAGCAGTAGTTTGAGACTAGATCATTGTTTGATTGTATAGGTGATCGGTAGAGTTGGCATTTGGAGCAATGTTCTTTCTGCTATCATATTAGACTGTGAGGTGAGTTTTCCTCACTATACTTGTGGGTCGAAGGCACCAAGGCTAGCCCACTGGATTTTATATCCTGATACACTAGATTAATGTTATGCTGAGTATGTGTTAGACTGGTAGATCTGTATAATTATATGTGTTGCTGGTTATTGATGGTTATTATATATATGTCGACATGTTATGGTTTGTTGGGTTGAGGCGGTCCTTCTTTGTGCTGAAGGCCAAGACACCCGGGGCAGTCCGGATAGACTGAAGGCCTGCGAGGCGGTCCAGTCAGGCCGAAGGCCCGGAGAGCGGTCCGGATACACTGTATGCCCTACGAGGAGGTCCAGTCAGGCTGAATGCTCATATATGCATGATGTTATATGTATTGGTTGTGTGTGGTATTTTGGGGGGACTCACTAAGCATCGACTTATGGTTTAAGTTTCATGTTTCAGGTACTTCAGATGATTGTGAGAAAGCAAATGTATGATCGTGCACATCCTTCTGGTTTTATGTTATTGGATTCTAGAGATACTCTGATTTGTGATTATTGTTTTTGAGAATAATGTTTTGTAAACAATTTTGGTTTTTGGTTAGGTTTTAAAAATGAAAATTTATCTTGATTTTTGGGATGTTACATTTATCATCTGAAATACTTTTGATATATTGCTTAGATTTTTGTGTTATTTGATTTATAGGTTAGGTTTACTCCTTTATGATTTAATATGGATTCATTTTCTTTTGGTTATAGAATCAATTTTTATGTGTTTCTTTGTTTCTTTAGAAGTTTCTTTTGGTTATATAATCATTCTTTGGGTTTCTTTTCTCATTTGTTCTTTGAAGGTAGTGTGATTAATGGGTTTTTTGGTTTTTTAAGTTTGTAAAAAACCTGGGTTTCTTTGTTGAAAATGTATGAGCCTCAAGATTTTGTTGGTTGTGGTGGAAGATGGTGGATGTTGGTGGTGATGGGAGGAAGGTTAGAGGAAGCTTAATGATGGAAGGCGATTCATAAAAACTAAAGACAAACTGACATGGATAATTAATGACATATCAATTCGAGCAAAATGGTTTACTTGACAGGTTATAACTAAATTTAATGACCTATTACATAGAAAAAACATTAATAACCAAATAAGATAAATAACAAATGTTTATTGTGACACAATAACATTTTTTTATAAGGGGTATAGAAAAATTGGTTTTTAAACGTTTTAGAAATTATAAATTAAATTGCTTTTGAAATGAACATTAATCCCATATTTTTTTTTGAAATCTGAAGAAATAACACGAGTGATGAGAATTCTAGTGATATGTTTTTCACTATTTCTCAATGGTTCACAAAAATTATTTACATTAGTTATTTATATAAAGATCAAACAATTATTTCACTTGACAGTTTGAACAATATCAAAAGTATATTATCAACAATATGATAATATATTTAGGTTCTTGTTCATTTTTCCCAAATTCTATTATAATTGTTACATTCATTGTGAAATAAAATACATGGCAAGTGTTGATATTTTATAACTTTATAAGTGTATTGATTGTTTTCTTTACCCATCTAGATTATCCGCCTAAATATTATTATTTTTATTAAATTGAAATTGTTGAAATCATATATACACTCTTACAAAGACATAACAACTACTTAATAGATTAGCTATGATATTATATTTATAAATCTATTATGTGTAATCTTCTATCAAGTATTTTATCATCCATACAATTTTGAATATGTGCCATTTTTATATTTCTTCATCACTTTTTATCAACCAAATGTTCCAACGGCACTCAGATTCCATTCACACAAGATTTCCGTCACGTGGAGGGTGCTCCGAATTGCCCGCTGCCCGTTATAGCCACACCTCCCCTCTTTTAAACACACCAATTCCCAATTTCGTATCACAAGTCGAAAATCATGGAGAAAAGCTTCGCCTCCTTCACCATTATCACCTTCGTATTATTCGCCGTCTCCGCCGCACGTATCTCCTTAAATCCACCGGCGACGAATCTGCCTGCTCTACAGTGTAGTGGTAATGACGAATCGAAGACTATGAAGGCTCTGCCGCGCCCTGCCACAACCGAAGATTCAAATATTATTCTCCCGAGCGACACGCCGAAATCAAACTCCGATGAAACTGGTAAAACGTCGGAAACGAATAAGGCTCGGATGCATAAAGTTGATTTGACTCCACGTTCGGATTTCGCTAGATTTCATGCGATTAACCGTCATTTCTTCGATCAATCTCGAATTCCGCTCCATTCCGCTCATCACCGACGTCCTAACCGGCATTCTGTAAATCCGTTTCCTCGACCGGAGATCTCGCGTGGAAAAGAAGCGGTTTTGTTTGGTGAAAGTGAAACCAGTAAGGTTGATGCAGAGAATTTCCACCGGAAAGGTCCATTGAAGCGGATGAACTCCAAACATGATTACGGACATCGTCGCCAACGCCACCGATACCACCACAACCTTCATCGTTACAACAATGGCGTTTCCCCTAAACATATGTTCAGTCGAGAGAAAGTGAAGAGTTTGGTGCGTCAACACAAGGAGAAAAAGAGTCGGAGAGAGCATGAAGCTGAAGCTGGTTTCATGAAAGGCATCCGTAAATTCTTGAAGCACGCTTTCGACTGATGGCTATTCATTCGATCAATCGATCGAGGTATTCTCGATAATGTATGTACATGAACTGTTATCTAAGCAGTTTTTAGTCATGTCGCTATAATTGTTCCTGTATTTTCAAGTTTAATGCATCCGATTGAGATGTAGTAGTATAATTAGCTATAATTAATTGATTTAATCAAATGTTTATGTTTTCACCTCAATTCCAACTCCATCTCCTCTTCCCAAGATCAGATCACATGTTTCCATTTTTAAGTATCCAATGAAAATTGGAGATAACAAAAGGAAAAAACTTAAATTATGTATTTCCTAATTTGATGAACATGGTAGTCACTATAAATCGAAAGTAAAGTAACATGTCTTAAAAAATTTATCACTCTTTGCACTTTATGCCTTTATGTGCATTCTATCTATTGATCTGCCAGGTTGTTGAGCTACAAGCTTTATGGATAATGGATCAAGCAAGTCAGTGGGGATGATGTGATCTTCATTTCCCTTCCTTTCACGTTGAAGGTATTTCTTATAAAATTCATAATTCTAATGAATTTCAAGCTTTTATACAATTCTATGTTATAATAAAATTCAGTTACATGTTTTGTTGAGCTTGATTTCTATTAAGAGTATCATTTACCCATAAATTAAGAACTCAAGTCATTCAAATGTATAGTTAAGGAGTAAAATAGAGGATGTATGTGTTTGCTTTTGTATAAGAGTAAAGAAATTCTAATAAATAGTTAATCATTAAGTTCAATTTTAAAATAAATGGGTTTTCAACAAAAAACCACCAAATAAAAAGAAAAAATTAGACTAATTTCTTTGAAAACTAATGAAAACAAGCATGTAGGCCCATTTTAATATTTGCGAGATTATTGGTGTTTTTCCGTAATCATCGCAACAATATATGTTAGGGTTTAAAAAGCAAGCACGCCGATAATTAAGTAATCTTGGTTGTTGTCTTTGTTTTTAGGTTATTAACTTAAAGTTTATATAATACGACAAGCATGTTTGATGTTATAATTAAACCTAATTATAAACGTTGAAATAAATAAAAGCAAAAAAAACAAAATAAACATTTGGTTGGTTTGGCCCCATTCATCCCACCTCATATTTCTCGTCCTCTTCCCATTTTGAAATCTTTTGGCTCTTTTCCATTTCTATGATAATTTTTAAATTTCTTTGAATTGTGTGGTAACAAGTTTTTATTGGTTTCATCTTATTTGGTTATAGTTTTGTATAAGATTATGGAAATTTGTTTATGTTTTATTTACATCTATTGCTAAAATGCTTGTGTTTTTTACAAACATATAATGTCGTTTGACAGAACCATAAATTTCATTTGCATGTTATTCTTTTAAGGTTTTAATTTAATAAGATGTATTTTGCATGTTTGGTTTAGAATAGTGGGTTTTATCTCGATTTGACACTAACAGTGTAGGGTTAAAAACCCCCCAAAAAAATGAATATTTTGGTTCAAAATAATAATAAAATATCAATAAACTAAATCTTCAAATTTATAAGTTAAAAATGCAAAAATGTCAATGTTGTTTGCTGTTTTCTTTGGGTTTAGTCCAACTAACTATAGATTAGAATATTGTTATGCTTGAAAAAGACTATTATACTTTTCCGATTTATCTTGTATATATTTCAAATAATTTTTTAATATCTATTAGGTATTAAATTAGAAAGGTGCTCACCCACACCACCCCTTTCTCCGTTTAATATCTATTAGGTATTAAAATAGTTTTAGCTCGCCTCTTCTGTTTCATGATTCATACATAAAGATCGGTGAATCAGAATTAGGTTTCCAAGTTAGTTTCTATTGTATGCATGAAAATTGATTTTGAGAAGCTTGGATATAATCCCGTTTAAAAAATCACAATTTCTAAAATAAAGGAAAATTATTGGTTTAGAAATGGAAATATAAATGAGATAAAGACAATGGAACTTCAGGTTATAAAAAAAGCATTTTTACAATGAAGTCGTCGAGTATGAATGCATTTTATATAAGGAAGAATTTTGTTTATATCTTTGTAAATTTTTATAATTATGTCTATATACATGTAAAATTTCAAATTACGCGTATATCCTTATAAAACTATAAACTCACATATATACCTAAATATTTAATTGAATGATAATTAATCTATTTAAAAATTAGAAACATTATCTATAAATTAGATTGTAAATAAAATTACTAAAAATACCAATTTTCAATCATTCTCATAATCAATTTCTTTATTCAAGACCTAATAATAATTTTCTTATAAAGACGACTCTCAAAATATTTGGTACTAAATATCCATTTGCAATTTTTCCTATAATTGATCTCATTATTCATGACATAATCGATCTACTACCTTTATCTTTTTCTTTTTATCATCTATGTAATCATGCAACATCCTTGTAGATAAAGAATGTTTCATTTTGCTGATGAATCCTACATCATTTTCGACATGGGACATCCAATTTAGATCTACAATGTGATGCCCTAAAATGTGTGCTCTCCATATGTCATCTAATACATTAGATATAGGGATGTTATTCGGGTCAGAACCGGACCGAACCGACCTAAACCCGAATAACCTGAAAACCGAATAAGGGTAATTGCATGAACCGAAAACCGAACCGATTAACCAATACGGGTTCGGTTTGGTTCGGGTATTAATCGGTTCGATTCGGTTATTACCCGAATAACCCGAATAACGTGTACAAGATGATTAAGGACCTAATATAACCGAAAAAACCGTATTAGGATTCTATAACCCGAATAACCCGAATAATAGAATAACAATGTATTTTTATACATCAACGTAAAATATTCAAAGATTAACATAACACAATAACACATTGAAAGAATAGCATTTACATAGTAGATTAACATAATGAGAATTAATTTCTTACTTGAGTTTCTTGAGTTGAAGCCTAATTTTCTATGACTAGACAAAGTAAGAATTTGTGAATCCTTAGATACAATAGGAAGGGTTGATTTTTGAAAGTCTGAAACAAGGGGAAGGCTCGACAGAATTGATTTCGAGTTTGGAAATAGTTGAGAAAATTGGTCGATTTTGAAATGACGAGAACGAGCGTACGGTTTTTCTGTTATGAACGACAATGACAGAAGTGTGAATCATGATTTTGATTTATGTCGATAAGAGAAAGGGGACGAGGAATGCTTATTCAGGTTGAATATTTAGAACCGAATAAGCTCTTATTTGGGTAACCCGAACCGAATAACCCGAGAACCGAATAAGCATAATATAGATACCTGAAACCCGAATCAAATTGCTTATTCGGGCCTAATTCGGTTCGGTTCGGTTCGGGTTTTTGGGACACATTCTCATCTCTAATTAGATAGTCTAATTATATAAAATGCATTTGTTACACGGTTCAAACATGCAAGAAAGGAATTGTTAATTATTAATATCATCCGGTTAGCCATTGATGCTTATGGCTACGGTTACTCTTTTTCCAAGCTTTGATAAATTACAACAACTTTGCATCGAATTTACCCTAATAAATGAAAACCTTTTGCCACATATCATTTTCTCCTTCCTTTTGACACATGTAATTTTTTGAGCATTTTAGAATTATTTTATTTCCACATGTCATTTTAATATTTATTTCATTTCCTTTTTTTGCCACATCATCAAATTAATTAAGAGACACCATTATAGTAATTATTAACCCAATTGATAATGCCAGCTAAAATTTTGGTGATTCCTTTGTATAACCGTATTTTGTTCTCTATTAACATAAATAATACTATATAATTATAAAAGGTTATATGATTTGCTTAAATCAAGGAATTATTAGATGAATACTTTCCAATATTGGATGTGCTATTGTTTTTCAGATGGAATGAAATCGTTTTTTATACAAATTTCATTCTTGAGATTATATTTCATATATACATGATTCTTATCTGAATCCTTTCTCTACCTTCGTTGTCTTGGATCTGTAAAACAACTTCGAATCAAAATTTTAAAGTAATCGATGCATTTTAGGGTCCTCCTTTGGTTCTCTTATCTTAGTATGTGCTCCTATCACCACTCACCATCATATAGTTATCCTCTAATTTGGCACCTTGAGTCTCTTTTGTTGATGAAACATTCATTCATGTCATACTCATCAGAATAAGCCTTTTTCTTTTGAGATTTCATGCTCAAATGATATGTTTATTCATTTTATTAATGTTTACGGAAGACAGAACGTTTTGATGTAACTCACATTAGCTTTTTCTTTTTTATGTTATTAATGAATTATTGCAGGATCGTAGCAACATTTTGTTCTGGAGTCCTGTAATCTTTAATTAGTAGCATAGGGGGTCCTAATTAGGGAGGAGGGAGTCGCCCACTGAACCCACTGCCACATCAACTTTTCTCTTTGATTTTTCTTTATCTTTCCGAACCCACAACACACGGAAATCCTATCTTTCTCAACCCACTCAATTAAAAAAAAATACCAAATAATTAAGGTACAAGTCTTAAAACACATGGTACAAGAGAAAATGAGAGAGAGAAAGTAGAGAGAGGATGAAGTGGGTTAGTGAAAACCAATTAAACAATCCGCCGAAAAGGGAGTGGTACCGGTGGTAACTCTATTGCTAATTAAGATTTTACCTTGATTATTTTGTATTTTTTTTTAATTGAGTGGGTTGAGAAAGATAGGATTTCCGTGTGTTGTGGGTTCGGAAAGATAAAGAAAAATCAAAGAGAAAAACTGATGTGGCAGTGGGTTCAGTGGGAACGACTCCCTCCTCCCTTAGGCTGCAAATGTAGTCACATCCGGTGTCTTCTTTGCTATCGATCATGGTGGACTATTTAATCTATATCTTTATTCATTTGTGGGTGCCTTGAGTTGGAAGGGAAGGAAAGTAAGTTTTCAATTTTACAATGATACCTTTAACATATAAAAAAGTTAGGGGTAGGTTTTTCATTAACAGAATCATACAATCTTTCATATCTTCTATCTTCAACTTTCCCTTCAAGTCTTTAACTTTTCTTAAAAAAATG